GGTATCAGATATGCAGGGGCACTTATAGTATTGCACTGCAGTTGAGCAGTATCTCAGCTATATACTGAAATAAATAATAGTGTAACAATAAAAAGATTATCAAAAGCTGCCACACACCTTCATCACAAAAATCTGTGATGACAGAGAATTCTTACCAAAATAAAACGTGCAGCCATTCCAGCCAGCCTAGCCTAATGCAATCTTCCTGTTTTTGTTACTGCAGCAGTTTAATGTTTTTCAAACATTCAACTTTAACAGTGTTTGTACAGTAGTCAGTCATCTTTATTTGGCCTTGTAATGGTTTTTAGTGATATGAAGATTTGCACAGATGTTGGTGTCATATCAAGTCCCAACACCAGTTCCCAAATAGTAAAGATGTATTGAGGTTGTCAAGGAATTATGTTACAAAAGGCAAGCCTACACATGCAAACCTGAATGCTAAAAATCCCATTCTCACCTGCATGAAGGTAGACTTATCCCTAAAAGGCTTAAACCACAATGTTGCAGTGTGGTGGAAAAGTAAGTCCCCCTTCCGTACGATTTTATGATTTTATCACCAAACCCTAACAGTAGATAAAACTAAACTCATTTTCCAAATAATACACAAACATAATACTTTGCTATTTAAAAAAATCATCCTGCATTCAGTATGTTGGTACTGTAAATATGTTAAACCATAAAATCCTAAGGCAGTGTTTTTCAGCCCACTGTATATGATATTCACATCATGCACAGCATTTTCGGGCTTGTTCTGAATGCAGCATGCGTGCAGTGACCTTCCAGTCTAAGTCATTTATAGTATGGTTAATGGTGGCCAGCAGCACTGGGTTGCTGATTAAGACTGTAAATACCTCAGGCTGTTCATAAATTATACATCTAGTTACATAGATAAAACCTAACTTTTGACAGAGGTCTTTAGGTACTGGTAAATCAAATGTCAATAAATATTAGAACTGTACCTGCTGTTTCCCTAGAGAATGCACTCCTAACTCTGCTGTAGTCACTGGAATGGCAGGCGTCTAGGGCTCAGGATGTTTTCCACTCAGTGAGAGGTGGCTGAATAAATATTTTTTTATGTTTTCTACTCAGTTGAAATGTCCTGTCCCTGTGGACAGTAATGTTTCTGAGAAGAAAATCTGTACAGATGTATTAGTGGGGAATTTAATTCCAGCCTTAACTTGACATTTATTTTGTGATGTGAAATACAACTGTGATTTTCAAGCCTGTAAAAAAAATATTTTTATGCAGCTGATAGTTTTGACCAGCCTTGATTCCGACATATACCAGCATTACTGATGATGTCTTATTGTTCTCCTTCATTTATTTTAAGCCCAGTCAGTCCATGCAGGCAGACTACTACAAAACTAAAAAACACTGCAGCTTTGCCATTTTGTTTCGTAATAGAGCTGATTAGAATTTGAAAAGTGAAACATATTAAAAGGTTTGTCAAGTGAAGTTCATTGTAGTCCAATATTTCATTTGTGTAGGTGCTTTCACTCACACCATCAGTGAATTAATTTTGTTCTGTTGTTTAGACATATGCTTTCATCTTATATGTATAATTATTTATATTTTTATACCTCTTGTATGGAGTCCAATCCGCTGTCATCTTTATGCTCTTTATGATAGTTACCTCTCGTTTATATAATGGTGTTTTGAAGGTGCACAAAATACAGCAGTCTTTGAAAATAACATAAAATATTCCTGACTTGTAAAAAAGTGGGTAGTCATTGCTTTCATTTTGTGATAAGGAAGACTAGAAGCAGGCTGGTGTGAAGTTAAGTGAAATCTTCTGTTTACTGATTGCTTCTCTGATTTCCATGTAATGCACCGGACTGTTAGTCTGCATGGATTTCATTGTGGTGAATCACAACTCTGCTGTTACCAACTGGCAACTGTAAAAGTGCTGTTTGCTGTAATTATGGTCAAGGCAGATAAGTCTCAGACCTTTTTATGAACTGTAAAAAAATCATTCTATCACTTCATATCTATATCAAACCACTGAAAGCACCCTTTTACGTTTTTGGTGAAAAATGTCAGCCTTAAATTTTTAGCTAGTCATTTGTAAAGCAACACATAGAAAATTCCTTTCTAATTCAGTCATAATAATTACTGAAGATGATATCCATGGTTAAAAATATTTGGCTTAGGCCTCTGGACAGTTTTAATCAAACTGCTGTAAATGCAAAAGACAATCAGGACTTTGTTGATGATTTTACAAAGAAAACCCTCTTATAACTTCTGATTATAATCCACAGTAGTCTTGATGTCTGGATTAGCAAAATCTTTAAATTAATTCAGTCACTGTGGCAGTATCGTATTTTGGAGTTATTCTGTACACTGTGGAAGGTTGACTGACTTTGGGATCACATTTAAATCCTCGCTCATTTCAGTTATGTTGCTGAGGAGATAAAGACATCTTTTCCTTGGTATCTGTTCTGGAAACCACGTTGTGTTGTTAGCTGGGTAAAGAATTTTGTAGTGAAAAAACAGTAGAGATTGAAATGGATATATAATTTGCAGCTCAGTTTACAAAGCCAGACTACGTTCTGAGTTCTAATCATCCCTTTGGATGCCTGTATCCGGATTCTCTGGGAAGGAGTAAAATAAGGGGTTTGTCCTCTTGCTGCTGGAAATGTCCAGACCAAGGGAGGAAGGTCACTGGGGTATTCCTAATTGATCATTCTATCCATCCTTGATTTTGTGTTACAAATAGGAAAGGGGATTTGAACATGAGCCTTCTGTATCCCTTTAGTTTTGTGCTGTTTATTGCTCAAGAAATCAATACATCAAACCAAAGTTAAAAGTACTGTAAATCATGGCATTACAGTTATGTGTAAGGTCTGTTCAATCGATATCTGATGTATTTATTGAACTCTTTTTTTGAAACACCTACAGAGATTTTGGTTTCAAGCTTTTTAACAGTTGCTTGGAAGTTAAATTCATGTCTGTATGAGGCTTTTAATTGCAGTATGATGAATGAGCTCTGATTGATTTTTACATTATTTCTAAACACACAGGCAGCATGATCATTCTAATAGATGTAGAGAGTCAATTCCTGTTTATTTCTCATTCATTTCTTCATTTCATTCAAATGATTTGCATTCAAGCCCATTCTCAGAGAATCTAACATATTATAATAGGATTTGTTTCTTCGTTCTAACCTTATTAGCATTGAGTTAACAGCTGGTGACCCCGGCAAAGAATTGGTCATAGCAATTGGCTTTTTATTTGTAATGCCAACACCAAAGACACTTTGTCAAGTTGCTAGCAATGACTTATACTTTATCTTTTACCAATGGAACTGCTGATGTGCCTTCATCTTTGTATGAGCACAAAAGAGGCCACTTATACAGACCTGCTGGGTCACTGGTAGCTCCATGTGAACAAACTCAAGTTTTCTGAGCTAAAGACATTTTAAAGTGAGTTTACTTTCCCAAAGCTTTACTTGGCAGTCTTTTTGAATGAGGGAAAATATGGCGAGTCTTCAGCAACAAATTCCTTTCATTCCCTCTAATTGCATTTCTTGACCCTGGCCGGGTGAAAGGACGACGGTCCTTGTGTGGTTTTTAATTGAAATTGATCGTCCAGCCGTTGTCTTGCGAACTCCCTTTGGTTTGTTAGAAAGCAAACTGTACAATCGGTAATCCACATCGCCTTTGCTGCCACCAGTGCCCTGAGTTGTATTGTCCAAATGTCAGCAAGAGATTCAACCACTTATGAGATGATGTAATCAGTCCACTGTGGTGGGTTGATGCTCAGTTGGTACACCTTCAGCTCCTGATGAGTTTTCAAGACAGTCAGGTTGCCACCAGAGTGATTGGAGATAATGGTTTTCTTATCTTTGGAGGTCTAGACATGTGGCATTGTTGTTTACGTGGCAGTTTGTCTTTAACATTATTGGATTAGGTGTCCCACAGTAATGAATCCTCTGTCCCCATACAGACAACAGCCTCTGGAATTACATTGCTGGCAGCATTCTGCCTGCTGACCTTTCACCTTGACTTCTTTCTTACATATTGTCTACTGTCCTTGCACACATTCACTGCAGACTCCTGGAGGTGTGTCCCTTGCAGTCCGGCTCTTTATTGTCGACTGCTGTTGTCAGGTGAAATGATTTGCTTGCTGTCTTCGACTCGTTGAGTTGGAAGTGGAGGTATTCGGCCTCTTCTTTTCTGGCACTCGGCGGAGGGAGAGGCAGACAGCCTCACTTACCTGTCTTTGCTCTCCCTTGCTTTGACGGAAATGAAGGTGGAGTTGGATGAGTACCAGATCAGAATCGCCCCAAAGCCCTCCACACAGCCCCCTACCCACTGACAGTCCTAAATTATTAATTTGCTGTCATCAAAGACTGATGTTGCCATCCCTGCAGAGTGGATAATTGATGTCAAATCTGTGCCATCTGCTCTGCACTTTAACTAATAATTAATAACAGACGATTTTACAAACGGCTGCCATGGAGATTTAATTCTGAAAAGTCAATATTGGGTTGTTCATTTCGAGTTGTGCATCAGAGTGATTGTACTTATCTAATTAACGTGAAGATAATATCTCGGTAATGCTTTGTAAATGGAGAAGCCCATCAGGTGATAATTGCTGATATGAGGAATGGGGACTAATAGTCCAGCATGCCGAATTTGTTAAAGAACCCAGCAAAATATACCGTTTCTTATGTTTCAATAAGAAACATACTCAGCATTTCAATAAGAAAGATTGTTTCAACAATAGTTTTATTTAGATGATTATTTTTTTGCAATGAAGTGGGCGGCTTATGCATGGGTTTATTAATCAAGTGAGAAATGTGTGGATTAAGTTCCTGTAATTCTGACTCATAAATCTGGCCCATCTGCTCTCGATTTGTGTTTCTTTGGCGTTTTGTGCATCAGCGGTGGAAATTGTGTGCCAAATGCTCCAGCCAATATTCCCTTTTGAGTAGCAGCGTATCGGCGAGGCCTTGTTGGGGGCCTGCTGACCGCAATCTGTTCCTGTCTGTGTTGCAGAACACCCAGGTGGTGGAGCTGCAGAGGAACCGTCTGCGCGATGACATCAAGGAGTACAAGTTCAGGGAGGCCCGACTGCTGCAGGACTACACCGAGCTGGAGGAGGAGAACATCTCCTTGCAGAAACAGGTCTCCGTCCTCAAACAGAACCAGGTGGGTGGCATTAGCAAGATGGAGACCGTTCTTAGGTGTCATGGCCCCCTTGCCCGAGAAGAACGTTCAGCGAGCTGCAGGGGAACCTGAAGATTCAGTTCCTGGGAGGGTGGTCAGTGAGTGAAGATGTGATGGCAAACGGGAATTGGAATTCACGCAATCACGTCTCTGTTTTTCTGAAAGTGTGTGTTAAAAAAAAAACTGCATTTGTAAACCAGTGAGCCTTCATGCACTACATGAGCTCAATAATAAACACTTTTTCTTTTGTAATGGACTGTATTATTAGAATGCATTCAAATTACTACAGGCAAGCAATTAAAAGGTTGTGTGCATGAAAAGACTCCTGTTATTACACCTTACATTCTAATTGAGCAATAAAGGTTTGAGAGAAAGCAGGAACTGGCTACACTCTGCCCAGTGTTCCTGTGCTTGTCAGCTTGATGACCTTCCTGCACAGCCTTTATGAGACTGAGAATTACAATACGTATACATTTAAACTTGCTATAAATATTTTTTTAAAAGCAGCAGTTGCATGCTTTGCCTAAAAGTATGGAGTGGAACTTCAGCCCTCATAGAACTTCAGCCCTCATAGATCTCACATTTGTCTCTGTTGGTACATTTAATACGTCTGTAAACTGTCAGCTACAGGACTTTGTAGCCTTATATACCCAGTGCCTTACAATTTCCACTCTGTAGGCACTATATTTACAGTATGTCGTATTAGAGTAGGTAGGCAGTTCATAAACAAGCCACAAAAGTCCATTGGTCAAGAGCTTACCTTGGCCTTGTTGTTAAGCAGACTTCTCCTCCTTCCCAGTGATGGGACACCAGTCCTATCCCCAGCTATCTCTGTTCCTTATTCATATTGCTGGGTGGACAGGGGTAAAGTACCTCACTCAAGGTACAACAGTAACATTAGTACAAGCTGATTTTTTTTTATGTTCATTTTATGTGGTGTCTGCAAGAAAATCTCTAAATTTAGTTTGGTTATATAAGGTAATTTTCTTCTTAGCCTCATATATTTAGTTGAAAAAACAGAACTGCTACCTATACACTCTTAACCAATGTAGGATCTTGCTGAGTAGGAGGTTATGTATAAGGACATCACACTGGACAAGGGGACACGAATATGAATTAACTTTTACTATTGCAAAATCCTCTTCTGAATTATTGAAATTGCCCGTTTTCTGCTTAGCATCAGTGTGTGTGAATTAAAATACTCCAAATTTCAAATATGTGATAACTCCAGCTAGAGTGGAGAGTGGAGTAAAAACTTAACAGAGTGGGTAAGAGATGAATCTCTCCATAAATCACATGACAGCTTATCTGGGGACCCTTTCTTTTCAGCAGTGTGAGAGCATGATTTTATTGGGGATATTTGTTTCATTTTCTGCATTCCTTCCCTGCATCCAGGTTGAATTCGAAGGCCTGAAACATGAGATCCGCCGCCTGGAAGAGGATACGGAGTTCCTGAACAGCCAGCTGGAGGACGCCATTCGACTGAAGGAGATCGCCGAGCGGCAGCTGGCCGAGGCGCTGGAGACCATCAAAACCGAACGTGAGCAGAAGAACAACCTCCGTAAGGAGCTGTCCCACTACATGAACATCAGCGACTCCATGTACAACAGTCCCCTCAGCATCTCTCTGGACGGCCTCAAGTTCAGCGACGACACGGTGGAGCCCAACAACGACGACGCGCTCAACGGCTACGACCACACCTCCTTCAGCAAGATCGCCAATGGCGAGAACAACAAGGCGTCCACTCCCAAGAAACACGAGCTCTTCCCCCCTGCCCCCAGCCTGGTCAATGACCTCCTGAGCGAGCTCAACATCTCTGAAATCCAGAAGCTTAAACAGCAGCTCATGCAGGTAGGGAATTCAGGCCGGTTTCATCATGCCTTTTTCTTAAACATCAGAGGATCTCTTAAGTTATTCAATGGCAAATCAAATGCAAAATCCCTCCCAGAACTCTCTCAGGGTTTCAGATCCAGGTCAGCAAGTGTGCAGCCTGAACTCAGAACTTGTCTTTGCACTTGGATTTGTTTCATTTCCATTATGACTTATGTTTGATATACACAACTGGTGTTGATATCACAGAGTTTAGTACCAGTAGGTATAATACATGCCAATTCTTTTTTAATTAGTCAAAGATAATGCATTTGTCCTTACAGTACCATTCTTACCTCTAAACCACTAGGTCACAGAAATAAATCCTGTTAAGGAGAACTCGAGCTAATCCATGCAGAAACACCCCCTTCATGGTGTGCAGGGCTCTGATGTGCCATCTGTCAGAAAATCATGATCCGTTCTGCTTTCCTAGATGTGAGGGATCCTTGTGAAAAGAGTGTACTCATGGCTCTTGACACAATAGGAAAATCACTGGTGTCCCCAGTAGTGTAATATCTGATTTTACCATAACATTGTCTTTGGCAGCTGCAATCAAAACAACCTCATATTCCTATGTAAATGGGAAACACAAGTGCCAGTTTTTAGAGAAAACAATGATCCACATCACCTGTACATATAAAGTGTAATACAAAGCTTTAAAAGGGTTTTTTTTTTCTACAGTGGGGCTGGAAACTGGAGATAATCCCTGCTTTGTATTTGAAAGACAACAGCAGGTTAGGGTAGAAAAAAAAATAAAGCTAAAATTGGAAATTGGGGAAATGCTCTTCGAATGAATATAGCTGAGCAATGTGCTAATAGTACTCCGGAGTGTTAAACCCTCTGCTCTTTTTGTGGACGTAGCTAAAGAAATGCATATGAGCCACTTAAGGTGGGGAAAAAAGGCTGCAGTGTTCTTTACTGTGCACTGCAGTATAAAGCTTTTCCGTTTGACAGCTGAATAGATTAAAGAACCGTGTGAACTGCTTTGCTGCGGCACAAGCAAACCCCATTGGAAAACAAAAAATGTAATGTAATCTTCTTCATAATTATTTGACAGCTCTGATGTTCTATTAAATACTCATTGATCCCAAAGCTGTCATCCATTCAAATGTTCATTGCCGAATTCCCTTTCTGTTTCAATCAGGTTTATCTCGGTTATTAGTTGGTGAGGTCCTAGCAACATACTGTACTGTATCTGCTTATCAAAAATAGAAAAGTATATGTGATGTTTAGAATAGAAATAAAACCTCTCTAATTTCATAAAATATCTCCAATTGGTACTTCTTAGACTATCACTCCCCCTCAGTAATAAGTTTATAATAAAGCTAAGAATAAGTTAATGATAACATTGAACAGTAACCGTATAAAAATGCAATGAGAGAACTGAATGTGAAAATAGTGTATCAACAGAAATAAACATATCCTAGGAGGGGTCCCTCAAGATGGAAATAATGTTCCTCTTGTTAATTCCAATTCCTTGATTGAGCAGTTTGATGGTCTCTTGCCCTAAAAGACACTTTTTATTATTTATAGCATATATATTGATTTTACATTTGTATTTGATTGGCAGTTTATTTTAGCAGCACTGTTCAAGGTGATCATTGATTTTCCACTGAATGAAATACAACAATTTTGTCTGCATTGCAGGTACATTTAGAAGAATTGTTATTGTGGACCAATATCATTACTAAATTATAAGTATAAAACATATTATAGAGTACTTAGAGCTGCTCAAATTGTTGACTACCACAACTATGAAATTCACAACTACAATACAAGGAGGACTGTTATTAAAAATTGCCTGGTGGGAAATTTCAAGGAGCACTGTGATGTGGTAGAGGATCATTGATAAAATTTCTGTCAGATGACATTTCAATAGCTAACATTAGCTAATTTCCTGAATTCATAAGCTTTCACAAAATGTTCTGATTCATTTTCCAATGCTCCCTAATGGAGCTTTCTTTCTTTCTGTGCTTCTTCTGTACTACTTTCTTAGAAGTGCTTTCACATAAAATAGTGATGGTTCTGGAGAACAATTATGCAGTTTCCTCTGGCATTGTGATTGATTTAAATTAAATTGTTTGTATGCATTCATTCAAACATAATATACGTTTCCCAGTTTTTACTGTGCAGTGTAATTTCAGCTATGGTACACAGCTGTGAGGTGACACATCAGCACTACAGAGAATTACATCCCTGCTCATGGCAGAAAAGGCCATTAAAATGTTAGGCAGCAGTATTGATTTGGCATCAGGCTGTGTGCCTGCACAGGAATTAAAAGAGCTACATGTTTGACTACCAAATACTTCTGATATTTAGGGACGATTACTAGTATTTCTGTAGTACACAGCAATATTATCTTATTGTGTATCTAAATCAGTTTTTAAAATTGCATTATATTGCTAACATTTAAGAGAGAAAGCAGAAAAGTTGGAATACAGAAACATCAGATATTAGTGCTCTGTTCGTTATCTGGATCCAGGTAGTCTCAGCAGACAAAACAATACCACTATCAGTTTTTGAAATCTTGTTGCTTCCATCGCTGGCAGCACAGGTCCAAAACAAATATTCCTCATGGTGCAAATGTGCTCTCTACATGTCTTATTCAGTTTTTTTTTAATTCAAACTTATGTTTTATCCACTCAGCTGCTACATCAAGGTATTACAATCAGAAAACAAGTGCTTTCTCTTAAGTGTATGTCATCTTCCCATTTAGATCAACAGGACTGATCTTTAATGTTGCACTACTACTTGCAAAAGATTCTGCCTTTTGCAGCATTTGCTTGGAATGTCTTATGTAGCTCTCACCCGAGTACTTTGTTCTACTGTAGATACTCGGGAGTGCGAGATAGTCAGACTCCCATCTCTGTGCAATGGCCATGCTTAATTCCTGTTTTCTTGCAGGTGGAAAGGGAAAAGGTGAATCTTCTGTCCACACTTCAGGATTCACAGAAGCAGCTGGAGCATGCCAGAGGCGCTCTTTCGGAGCAGCATGAGAAAGTGAGCCGGCTCACGGAGAACCTCAATGCCATGAAAAAGCTGCAGGCAAGCAAGGAGCGCCAGTCAGCCCTGGACAATGAGAAGGAGAGGGATAGCCACGAGGACGGGGACTACTATGAGGTGGACATCAATGGACCGGAGATCCTGGAGTGCAAGTACAAGGTGGCCATGGCTGAGATTGGGGATCTTAAAGAGGAACTAAAGACAGTCAAGGCTAAGTATGAAGATTGTGAGTCCAAGTACGAGGAGGAGAAGAGCCGGTTGGAAACAGAGGTACAGTTGCTGACGGAGAAGCTGACCACCCTGGAGAAGACCAACCGGACGGACCGCGACCAGATGGTACGGTTGGAGAAGGAGCTAAAGAAGGTCAGCGATGTTGCCGGAGAGACACAGGGCAGCCTCAGCGTGGCGCAGGATGAGCTGGTTACCTTCAGTGAGGAGCTGGCCAACCTCTATAACCACGTCTGCATGTGCAACAATGAGACACCCAACAGGGTCATGCTGGACTATTACAAGGAAGGCAAGGGGGGACGCACCAGTCCGGAGGGCAAGGGTCGCCGTTCACCCATCTTGCTCACGAAAGGCCTTTTCCCCGAGTCGGCAAAGAACGAAAACATCGACAGCATCCCATCCCCGGTGTCTTCCCTTCCATCCCCGGTCTCAGATCCGCGTAAGGAGCCCATGAACATCTACAACCTGGTTGCCATCATCCGGGACCAGATCAAACACTTGCAGACAGCAGTGGATCGGACCACAGAGCTCTCCAGGCAGAGGATGGCTACACTGGAGCTGGGGCAAGTGGTGGACAAAGACAAGGAAGCCTGTATGGAGGAAATCCTGAAGCTCAAGTCTTTGTTGAGCACCAAACGAGAACAAATAGCAACACTGAGAACAGTTCTCAAGGCGAACAAGCAGGTCAGTCACAGTTCACTCATTCGTGTGTGTTTAGTTTTGAATTGGTCAGCATCATAGAAGTTCATTGCCTATTTAGGAAAAATAGACCCAACAACAGCGGTTACTTTGGGTGATCCTAAAACCTGAACACCTGAAGTGCCTCTTTTTTCTGTTTCACAGAAATGTGTCCATTCTTTGTATCTGTAAGCATGATACCGTTTGTTGCAGAGAGGCAGCATTGTCAATCACTAGGGTGGATAAAAGGTGAAAAGGTGTAAAAAAAAGTTAAAGATAAAAAGCTTAGAACAGCCACCATGGACGTAGCCAATGTGGTCATGGATTACATTCATATTACATGTGATTTATCATTTTGTATTTTGAAACTCCTAATAAATAAGTAAGCAAGCAGTGATTTGGATTTTGCTCAAGCGAATAACTTCTGCTAGTTCTGGAGTGATGACTAGTTTTTTTTTACGTTTGACTTTTTTATGAAAGGAACAGTTTTCTTCCCTTTTCTTGCCCTCCAGACAGCAGAGGTGGCTCTGGCCAACCTGAAGAGTAAGTATGAGAACGAGAAGGCCATGGTCACCGAGACCATGATGAAGCTACGCAACGAGCTGAAGGCTCTCAAAGAGGACGCTGCTACTTTCTCGTCTCTCAGGGCGATGTTTGCCACAAGGTAAGGGCTGGGTATCTGTCTGGGGTGAAAGTCATGTTGTGAGATTCTTACTAAGCCAACAGTGCAGTGGGATATTAAGGCCCAACCCACTCTGTGCCTTATTATTTCAGCAAAGAGAGATTGAAATTGAAGTGAGCTCTTCCATGATTACATTAGGAAAAACGACCATACAATACGTGGTTTCTCCGCATCTCAACATCTGATGAGCTTAGTTCACTGCTCGAGAGATAATCTCCCCAATTTCTGCAAGAAGGAGAGATATGGTTTGAGCCTGTCTAATCTCTAGAAAATAAAGATTATTACATAACTAGAAAGTGCCCTCCATTACTTTATTAAACCTCCAGAAGTGGCTGCGTTTAATTTTGCATAAATTTAAAGACCTATAAAACAGTGCCAGATTATTAGTGTTTTGGAATATCTTTTTTTTTTCCTTGCTACCTGTTGAAATGTTTGCCGTTTTCAGGCCCAGGAATTGTTCTGTGTCCAATGGCAGTTCTCAGCATGTCTTTTCTGCTTCAATACTTTCTTTGCTTGAATTAACATTTGCAGCGTATGCAGAGAATTGCATGTGATAGTTACTGTACTACAGTTATATGCTCTTCTTCTTTCGTATTGTTGTATTGTTTAATACACCGGCCACGGTTTGCAACTATTGCTTTTTGCATTAAAATATTAAATATAATTGGCAAAAAAAATATCTGCAGTAGGAAAAAGCTATAGTACAGTAAAAAGAACAAAAGTCTTTTTGTGGAAAAGAAACTTTACTTACTAGTTGTTTTCAAAGGTTCAAGCGAAGGCGGAGACAGTTTGAAGAACAGTTGATCATTCTGATTTTCTTCTGAGTTTTATTTTCTTTAAAATGGTAAATCAATAGAACTCAAAACTAAATCATGTAAAAGTGGATGGAAGGAATTGTTAAAAATCTGATTCCTGTAGCCCTCTGAAATTGTATATTTTATTATCACCTTTATCATCAAAAGACATAATAACCACAAAGTATTTCGATATCGGCTATTTTTTTCTAAATGTTCTAAATATTTTTCTAAATAAGGAAAATCCGATATAGAGCACCTACAAAAATATTGGGGCTGAAAAGCAAAAATAAGACTAGTAAGTAACATTACACAGTAGTTTAATATTTAAAATAATACTTTGACTTTGCTGTCCCAATACTTTGAAGGACTTTGGATATGGTAATCCCAACTCCATGACAGCGTTTTTCAAGTCTTGCAGTGAAGCTAATTAATGGATCTGTCTAAGCAATTCAGTGCAGCAGGGCAGGTTCTGTCTGGGGCGCAGTCTTCTTAGTTTCACTGTGTGTCTGTGACATCTGGCAGAGAGTGACGCCTACTGAGTCTGGACACAATGTGATACTACCTGGATGTCCTGAGCAAAGAGCCATACCTAGCTGGGACTGGTGTCCCACCCTCGTCGTTGACCGTGATTTTCTGGTCTTATTTGCCCACAGGTGATACTAACCAGGGGAGTGTTTTAAAAATGCAAAATCTCTTCCTTGTCTTAAATCCATACAGGATTCCTCAGTCTGCAACACTTAGTTTTAGTGCAAACATTGCATATCTTTAATTGATCAGGAGGAAGACATTCGAGAGCTGCTTTGTGAAATGACACGACTTCCTTCATTACAGTGCAGAACTACTGTCTAACGTGATGGTACTATTTTCAGATCCACCATCTCGATTACATGGAGTGCTTTGTTTGCAGAATGATAGGAGGACTTTGGAGACATTTAAAAATAGATTGTGGCATACACTTATCTAATGCCAGTGTATCTGAACTTGGAGATTTTTTTCCTTATATTTTGTACTTTTGCAATTCTAATTAAAGCCTGAAGCTGTTTATTCATGTAGTCCGACAGCTGGCAGTACAAGGTGTCTCTAAATTAGGATGGCTGTAATTACTGGAGTATAAAATAAAATATTTGATGGCATGAAAGCACAGTATTACACCACCCAAGCTATATTTTATTACACGCCAACATGTAAAGGCAAGGCTTCTCCCATGAACAGGCCATGCCCTGTAATTATTCGCTGCATTCTGCAAATCCAATTCAAACATTTATTTTTGGTGAATGTGCAGTATGAATTAGTAGCAAAAAAGGCAACAATTTCTCCTGGCATACTGTACTTACAGGCTGTTATAAGCTGTATTTATATCCTGTATTTTGTATTTATTTTAAATCTTTATATTTTGTTGTAACGAACATTCCTTCCTCCAAAGATGAAACGTGTATGCTGAATCCTTAAATGCGTGTCCACAGGATTCTGACAGGACTCTGTGACCTTTCAGACTGCTTTTAGCAAGGGAAACCTAGGGATTTCTTCTTTTCAGCATCTTATAATTTCTCAAGCAGGAAATGGAGAAAAACACCAGGCACACCCATTAATCTTTTTTTTCCCGGGAGTGGAATATTCCTTAGTTTACATTTTTCTCAAAGCTCTGATACCCCAGGGTATATTCTTGCTATTTTAGGGACATTTCCCAGAAATGTAATGTAGTTAAGAGTAGACAGAACATAAATTAAGCACATGTCTCTTTGTTTGAGATGAGGGGCTAATCAAGAATGAAAGTATCAGAATTTCAATGCCATGTTTAATATAACAAGTGTGCAGAAGTTTAATGATAAAATGAAGTAACTACTGAGTTATTGCTCATGTATAATGAAAGCAATATATTTTACAGCCAGGGGTATTGTTATTTTCTGTATACTGTATTTGTGTACATAAATAATGGCAAACTCATTCTTTTCTTTGAACAATGCTTGAATTATTATGATATCATTGTCTCAATGTAGCAGTGGGACAGCAGTCACCCCCTATTTAAAAAACTTACTTTTTCCTGTTCTCCGTCCTGGGTCTGAAACAGTCAGTTTAAGGACTTTTCACATTCTCGCATACATGAGGCAAAAGAAGTGAGACTTTGCTCTATTAATTACTAAACCATCTGATTGTGTGGTCTCAATGGAGGCTTTCTTTGCCTTGTTCAAATTCACTTTGAATTAGCACATTTCATCCACTCTCCTAAGGGGATGTGCTTTGTGTGTGGGCTTTGCTGCTCCCAATGGATAGGCGCAGATTCATACGCACCTACAAAGATAACCAAGATATGAGGGAGTAACAAATAGCGACATGTTTTTGAATATCGGCAGAATCCGGTATAAGCTTTAAAAATTGCCAGCACCAATGAAGCAAATTTCCTGACCTTTAATATAGCCACAAATAGCATGCTGAGAAAATGGTTCATGTACAATTCCAAGAACATATAAACGTTGTAGTGAAAGTGTAATTGTCCTTAATACCATGCTGCAGAGTTCTGGGACTTGTCGATACTTGTACATGCAGCTCAGGACATAACTGACATAGTACATATCTTTCTCTACAAGGCAAACGACTGGGAAGGACTGCAGAGGCTGATTTAGCTGGGATTCAAGTGCATGTGTCTGTAGGAGAAGGTTTTCATGGTTCCAAATAATACTGTCTCAAAATGGCCACATGCCTTTTTAATAAGGGTAGTCATATAAACGTAGATTTTTAAATGCAAATATTTTTTATGTGGCTGTTCGTCTCTCCTGGCTATAATTATATCCCAGTACAAACAGAAGCCATTTTTTCCTCATTTGTCCTCATACTTCCAGTTTAGTGTATTAATCCTGTGCCTCATTAATTCCTAGACATTGAAATTAGGTTATTAAATTTGCACAAGACATGAGACAGACCAGAGGCCATCTTAATTAGCCATTTAATTAATACACTGGCCTATATATGTTGTTGATTAAAGAAAAACACGAACTGATTTTATTCAGATTTTATTCCTGCTTTGTTTGGCTGAATTGGGCTATATGTATGACACATTGTCTTGTCCTAATGACCGTTTCTTTGTCAACTCAAGTAAATTCTTCACTCACTTTTGCTGCAGCTGTATCTTAATGAAGAAAAGCTGTAGGTTAATAATGTAATAAAGAGTGTAGTTTACGTGTTCTGTGTGTGTTTACGATGTTGGAAGGAGAAAATGTCGTTTTGGTGTATTGAAATAAAATGCGATGCATGTGTATTGCTATCCACTGTTTCAGGTAGTACTACTGATTGCTGTATTTTCTGAAAGAAGAGAAAGTTAATGGCAAATAGATTAAGGTCTTACGGTTTCACATCCAGTAGCTATTTGTTTGCTTTGGCAGCTTTCTTATTAAAAAAAAAAACTTATAATTAGAGGGTTAGCTGAAGCAGAAAATGAGTTAGCCAAACTCTTTTGAAGTTGCCTGTCAGAAGGATACCATCGATTCCAGCACTTCGCAGTGTCTTAGCATCAGGGGCTGAGTGGCCAAAACCATCTTATGAAGGCAAGTGCAGATGGTTTTGTTGCGACATACGGGGCTGGTAATTGTTCTGCTGGATTCCTGTGTAGCAATTCAGTGACTGTGGTGTTTGGGGGCCCTCCGGCTTGGCGTTCACTTGTACGTCTCGTGCTCCTCTCTGGGCTGGAGTAGCTCCCTAGCTAGATCATGTAGATTTCATCAGGACTGAAGCTTATCTCAATTGAATGTATTTATGTTGCTTTAATTACCTAGAAGGGCAAAATTGTAATGCACACCAGGAGTCCCTAGAAAATAACCTTTTATTAAGCATGTGGAATTATAGAATTGTAAAGGAAACCCTGGTCGTCCTGCAATAAGAACAGGATCTTTTGCTTTAACACTGGTCTACTTAATTTGTGTATTTGTAATGTGTTTGCGTATTTTTTGATGGTCATTACTAATTTTAAGCAATACGTTGGAGGTAAAAATATTTGTTGTATTTATCAGTGTATTACCCAAGTTCATGGAGAAGTTTAAGAGAAATATGCCATCTGATGTACTGTATGCACTGTATGATTTTTAAGAATCAAGTGATACTCCACCTTCACTGAGATGATATGTCATGTATTTTCTCACACTTTGAATATTATTCTGACGTTGCGTGAGGTGTGAAAGACGTCTACAACATGCTCAATACAGCAATTGTTTCCTTGAAATGGTCGTGCCTCCTGAACAAAAGGCCTCAGCCTCCACTTTCCTTGTGTCTCAGTAGCCCCAGTTTGTCATGGGAAAAGGAGTCTCATTGAAATCTCTAGGCCATTGAAAAGAGCAAGTTTTTTTTTCCCGGGAAAATCTCCGACCTTTTCCTTGACATCCACCCATCTTGAAACAAGTCTTGATTCAGGGAGTACATCACACAAAGGTATCTGTGAAATGGGGTGTTACTAATCCCCTTTGTGTATTAATTTCTCTTTGTGTTCTTCCTCATCTGCCCTGTTTGTTGAATTTACTTATGCAAAGGAGCTCTCCAGGCACGTATCCCCATGTCTATAGAGCTTCTGTTCTGTTTTGGAGTTTGAAAAGGAGAGGTTTCATGAAAAATGTCATGTCCTCACAGCAGGCGTTACTCCTCTGGACCTCCACCAGTCAGCGATGTGAGGTTGTGATTGCCAGCAAGGTCTCAGGATTACAGAAGCTTCTAGAGGGTGACCACCACACAAGTTGTCAATAGAGCGGGTCTAGCTGTCCCTAAGCAGGAATTGGATTTTATTTTATTCATCTTTCAATTCAGATTTAAAATCGACAATTCCACAAGTTGAGTTTTTAAAGCCCTAGTGGGATGTTCCCTCAAATCCTCCTTCCCTTAAAGGAGAAGGCAGTTTGTGGGTTAACCAAAATGACTAACATCAAAATGTGTATCTATGTCCCAAAGATAAAAAAGTGGAACAAGTTGCTCTTCGGGGAAAATGATGGCATTTAAATCAACATAAATAACACTGAAATGACTTCCACTTAATCAT